GGCGAGGTGGGACTGGTTTGGAGGCGGGGGGGGGTGGCCGGGGAGTGCTGCCTGCGGGTTCCAGTGGGTCCCAGAGTGGGTTCCTCCCGGCCAGAGCCCGCCTCCTTCCTGCCACCATCCCTTCCCCGCTCCACTCCCTCACCCTCCTTCGAGAACCCTGAGGGCGGCGCCGGAAGCATCTAGAAGGCCCTGGGCCCTTGGGAGAGCGCCCGAGGCCTGCCTTCCAGAGGGAGGCCTGGTCTGGAGTCCGCGCGACTGCTCTGCCTGGTTTCCCAGGCCCGGGGCTCCTGCCGCGTCTGGGACTCTGATGTCAAGGGACGGGGTTTTTCAGCTGTGCCAGGCGCCTCAAAAGACCCCCAAGTGGGGTCCACGGATAGAAGCTCCAGGAACCTGCGAGGGGGTGAAGCAGCTCTCTTTGTGGCTCTTGACAAGTTTGACAATAAAAGCCGAAAAGTTAGGGTGTCTAACTGCCCCAGCCTGGACTTTCGTACAGTACAGGAATGGTTAGGAGGGAAACAAGACGGACTCCGTAATGCAGTGGTCACTGCACCTCCCGCTCCTGTGCGAGTCCTTCGAGGACTCACCTTTAGAGCCCTGTCTGAATCTCAGCCTGGTGAGGAAGACCTGTGTAGACGGATAAATACGCAGCAGCTTAATCGGTGCCATGGCAAAGACGATGAGATGATCAGTGATACTCGGAGTGAAGATAGGCCTTGCTGAAAAGTGTTGACTATTTTGTAAGTCTAGGGGAAGGGAATAAGGCAGTGTTACACGGCGAGGTTTGCATGTAGAAAGATACTTGTAAGTAAATGGGATTTAAAAATAGTATATTTTTCTAAGAATTCTTTTTATTTAATTTTATGTATTTTTAAATTTGACCAGAGACCAACAGAGAGAGAAAGAAAGTGAGAAAGCAAGCCACCAAGTCCACGGACTTGCACTGTGGTGGGCCATATGGGATTCCAATGCCCTTAACCACCAGGCCACCTGCTGGCCCACTGAAAATACTATCTTAAAGTTTTCCGGACCAAACCATCTCTCAAGCCTAATTTCATAACCATTAGGACTTTTTAAAAGTTTGTTTGTGAGAGAGAAGGCGCACGAGCATTGTAAGAGAGACAGGCACCTCAAGCAGGGTCCCATTGCAGTTGGATCCCCTTCCCACAGCTATCCAGCTGGGGATTCCTGCCTGCTGTCAGGTCTACAGGCCAGTACATACGGAGGCTTCCAGCACCTCCAGTTTGGTTCACTACAGCCTATGCCTTGGAGGCTGGGCCCCAGTGTAATTTTAAATCAGAATGCATTGAAATGATAATCCCTTACCTTTTTAAATGCAGCATGTGGAAATCTTTTCATTATCTGATTGGTTCATACTGTAATCTACATTAGTTATCATATCATCCATGGTTGGAAACTACAATTTAGGGTAGTCCAATGACTTCCAAGCTCACACAACAAAAGCAGAACCAAACTTTAAACTCCACAGTCAACCTTTTCCACTCCATTTTAGTTTAATAATAGTTAATTAAAAGCTATAGAGAAATGTGGGCCACAATTACCTCAGAACAGGTGACCAATTAATCTATCAATGTTGCATTTATTTTATTAAATGTTTACTGGGTGCTAGTTAGGTAAACGATAAGAAAAAACAGATTCTGTCTTCAAAGAATTCATCTGAAATTTACTTAAAATTTATTTGAGAATCTAATACTTAATACAACATTTTAATAGCTATCCCTCTCCCCACTCTGGTAATACTCGCACTTACCATTTTTCTCTGTCTGCTTTATTTTATTTATATTTTTTTTTTGGAGAGGATTTTTTGCTATAAGGCACGTGCGCTCGCCAAACAGACAGACAGAAAGCAAGAAATCACCCCCCAGGGGGGATGGCCACGCTGCAATCCCTTCTCCTCCATTCTCCTCCTGGGATCTTGGGCACGCACGCACGCACACGCACCCGGCGTGAGTTTTAAGCCATCGGGTCCGGGACCCGAACCACAGTAGACTACATGGGAGTCCAGCGACATAGCCATTACGCTAACTGCTGGTCCTTCTCTGTCTGCTTTAAACAATTTATTTTCGTTTGGGGTTTTCAGCAGTTATGACATGATTAGACATGATTTTCTGTGTATTTATCCTGCATGGGTTCTGAGCTTTAAGTTTGGAAAGTTCATAGCCTTTAATTCTCCAAATATTGGGTTGTTGGAAAAGTCATGACACATTTTTTTTGCATAGAAAAACAGAATAATATGTCCTGACTTTTCTGAAACCTAATATTTTCTTCTTGTTTTCTCAGTTTCTTACTCTCTGGTTAGATATACCTTGATAGTAAATGCCTGAAGCTCTTATCTTTTTTATATTCTGGTTTTAAAATTTGCTCTAAGGGGGAACCAGCAGTTAGCGTAATGGCTATGTCGCTGAACTCCCACATAGTCGACCGCGGTTCGTGTCCCGGACCCGGTGGCTTAAAACTCACGCCGGGCGCGTGTGCATGCGTGCCCAAGATCCCAAGAGGAGAATGGAGGAGAAGGGATTGCGGCGTGACCATCCCCCCGGGGGGTGATTTCTCGCTTTCTTTCTCTGTGTCTCTCTCTGTCTGTCTGGCGAGCGCACGCGCCTTACAGTGAAAATCTCTCAAAAAAAAAAAATTTGCTATAAGGTACATGTGCTCGCTAGAGAGAAACAGAAGAGAGAGAAAGTACCCCAGGGGGATGGCCATACCACAATCCCTTCTCCAGCCTTGTCTCAGGATTTGGGGTGTGCATGCACACACTCCCAACATGTTTTTCAAGCTGCTGGATCCAGGACTCAAACCACACAGCTATGTGGGATCCAGTTTCCTCAAGAGGGCCACCAGCTTTTTCTCCCCTTTAGATTAGGATATTCCATTGATCTATCTTCCATGTTTGTTGATTCTGTCTTCTGTCATCTTCCAACTGTTGCCAGGGAGACTCAACCCATGGGGGAGCTCCATCTGGGGTGTGAGGATCCTTGGCTTCATGAAGGAAAGACGTCAAGGTGAGAATCAACAGAGGGAGAAAGCAAGTTGATCAAGGAAAGTTCAGAGCAGACTTCTCCATGGTGGGAGCAGCCCCGTGAGGGGAGATAGGCAAACAATTTTATTCCTTTTTCAGAGAGGCTACCCTACTTCATAGGCAGGGCACTCCCTAAACTTTAGTGGCGTATATGACTTGGCTTGGTGCCAGGCTAAGGATGAGACAGTTTATTCATGACTTTTCCAAAAGGGGACAGTAATTTACCTGGAATCACTGTTCCTTCCCATTTTCTGGCCTTATTAGGGCAGTGCTGGTCATGACCAGGGTTCTTCCAAGCTGTCAAGGCACAGATGGGAGTATCACCTAGCATGCTAATACCATACGGCGAGGGTATAAGGAGTGTGAGAGTTTGGCACCAGTGGTTCCCTCTTGGTTTCAATGGGTTCAGACTTCGGATCGGTTAGGTTTTATTGTTTTATCGTAGGTGTTCAGAGCGTCCTTCATCTCAGTTCAGAATGTTGTTCGCCTCAGTCCCCTTCTGTGTTACAGCCTTCTGTTAAAACCATCCAATAATTAAGTTTCAGATATTACGTGTTTAATTCCTAACATTTTTTCCTTTAGTTTGCAGTAGGTCATGTGCACTCAC